ATGTCCTCCTCTAAGCTTTCCATCTCACTGTATGAAACTGATCAGGGAAACATCCACCTCCCATGAGCTCTCAGGAGGACTCTGCAGGGCCTCAGTGGTCACAGTTTTCATGTGGTTTAAAGAGTGACTCAACCCTTGTACTGGAACTGTCATGGCATTGGGCAAGGCAAGCATGTTGGCAAGAGAAAGAAGGCTAGCTGTAACATCGCATCCACCGTCAGAAAGCAGAGAGAGAAAGGAAGAGGGGCTAGCTCCCAGCGACTCCTTTCCTCCAGCAAGGCTCTACCTCCTAAAATTTCCACAACCCTTCCAACAGCACCACTAGCTGAGGGCCACTGTTCAAATATGTGATCCTATGAGGAATAGCTCACATTTCAAATGCCACCACGGTGAAAGCACAACACTTGGATCTAAGTTTTATTGTGCATGTTGGGGGAGAGGGTATTCAAACATGATTTCTCTGCATAGCCCTGGCTGTCTTGAAACTCTCTCTGTAGACCATGCTGGACTCAAATGCAGAGATCCACCTGCCTCTGCTTCCCAAGTGCTGGGATTAAAGGTGTGCACCACTGCACCCAGCTTCTGTGTTTATTCTAGGTTTATGTGATGGTTACAGTTCTGAACATCACAGGGTTTAGAATTGCCTAGGAAGAGTGGGAGACATGTGGTTAAGGCTCCAGAGACAGACCTGGCTCTGATGGCAAGGGAATGAAGAAAAAGACAAACATGGATAGATACACGGACAGAAAACTGGGATCAAGTGGAGTGGTCTCTGTGCTAGAGAAAGCATATCACCCAGGGAGCTCGGTGTGTTTATTATATACAGTTGAACATAGGGCAGAGTTACTTATTTTTATTTTATGTGCATTGGTGTTTTGCCTGCATTTATGTCTGTATGAGGGTGTCAAATCACTTGGAACTGGATTATAGACAGCTGTTAGCTGCCATGTAGGTGCTGGGAATTGAAGCTGGGTCTTCTGGAAGAGCAGCCAGTGTTCTTAACCACTGAGTCATCTCTCTAGCCCCTCAACATCCCTTTCAAGGAGGATGACCCAAAAACTTCCCACTAGGCCTGCATCCTAAATGTTCTACAACCTCCCAATAGTGCCAAGCTGGGGACTAAGTCTTGACCACATGAGGCTTTGTGAGTATTTCAAATCCAAACAGTAGCACCAACATGGGTCCAGGTGTGAGGTAATGAGTGCCAAACATGGACAGTAGCAGTAAAAAATAAAGAACAGAGTTTCAGGGGTGTTTGGGAAGTAGACAGAAAAAGATGCTATGACTAATTGACCATGATTACCTAGTGGCAGTGTGTAGGGAGTCTTTTTCTGTCCCACCAGCCAACTCCCAAGTAACAACACAGAGACTTCTTATTAATTATGAAACCTTGGCTGATAGCTTAGGCTTGTTTCTAACTAGCTCTTATAACTTAAATTAACCCATTTCTATTAATCAATGTGCTGCCACATAGCTCATGGCTTGTTACCTCATCTCCTACATGTCATGCTTGTTAGCATTTAGACATTGCCTGGAAGTAAGCAGGCAGTACCTTGGCCTACTCAGGGTCCTGACATCATCCTAAGTAGCCCATTTGCGCATGTGCTAGCCCACTTTAAGAGGTGGGCTCTGCCCACCTTTCTCTCTTTCTCTCTCTCTCTCTCTCTCTCTCTCTCTCTCTCTCTCTCTCTCTCTCTCTCTCTCCCTACGAGGCTGTGTCTACACCTCCTCTCCTCTCTTCCCCCTTTCCTGTCTCTTCCTCTCTACTCTTCTTCCTCTTCCTCTTCTCTCCTCAGCTCCCCTCTCCCCTGCCAATAAAACTCTCTATATGAATGCTGTCTGCATGGTATGTCTCTCTCTCATCTGCCATGGAGCACCTTGGCTCCAACTCACCAAGGTCTCTCTCCTTTACAAAAATGCTTCTTCCACATCTTCTCACAACTCCATCTTCTTCCCAGTGTTCATTTTTCTCTGCCCCAAAAATCCTGCCTAGCTATTGGCCATTTAGCTTTTTTTTTAAACCAGTCACAGTGACTCATCTTCACACAGTGTAAAGGAATATTCCACAACAGTAGTGTAACTTGTTTGAGGCCTCTCAGAGGTACCGTGTGCCTTCAGCCGTCTCTGAACCCCCAGGAAACTAGCTGGTGTTGTCCTCTAGAACCAAACTCTTTCTTTCCACACATCTCCACAGGAAGAAAATGAATCCACCTCCTAATGAACTCTTGCAGGCCCTCCAGGCTCCTACAAAGCAGCAGGATCAGCCCGGGCTGCTTCATAAATGTAAACATGCCCTGAGTGAGAGATGTGTGCATTTCATCAACGGTGACTTACTCGTGAAAAATAAGTGTGATCAAAGCAGAGCTAACGGTGGAGATGGGGCATTTTTGCAGCTAAACAATGATTTTTCTTTAACTTCCAATACTCAGTGACCCCAACTAGCAGCAAGTTAAATGATGGGAGTAGAAACTCATTTTCATTAAAGTGCACTAGATGCCAAGTAGACTAATGTTCAAATATTGTACAGAGTTGAATTTGTGTGCTATACAAGTACAGCACACATGTGCAATGTGGCCTCACATCTGCCTCTGTGGTTTGGCGTGTGTTAAGAGATAGGAATCTCTAAGCACTCTCCCACTAGTCACCTCAGATATGATAGATCTCCCATCTTAACCCCAGAATAAAAGTAAAGGACCTTTACTGGGGGCATCATTCAATCTGCTCTTCATGCTCACCATACAAAAAACACAAGGTTGCAACAAAGGCAGCTCTTTCATGGGCAAAGTGTTCAGTATGACCATTAGACATCTGCAGAGTCTGTTTCCTAAAACTGGGACACATGTTGTTCTGGATGGTGGGATCTAAGGGGAAGGAACAGATGCTTTCCACTCATATATGCTAAGAACGTTATCTGAAAATGCAGGAAGGCAGGCAGGCTGCTAAAATAGATGCTGACTTGAAATTACCAACGAATGCATCAAAACAAAAAGGCAGTGATTTTTGGGAGTCTTGCCTACTGTGCACCCTAAAAATACCACAAATAAAAACCCAAAAATGGATCTGCTCAGCCCACGTGCTTCTGTTGTGCTTCTTTGGAAGGAAACAAACAGATGCAATGCTAGATGAAGCAGAAGGTAGCTTGGGATAGCAGCCCAAGCCTGGACAGGGACGGCAGTTTAAAGCTTCCTTGGTATAAGGACGTCTTTCAGTTCGATTTAAACTGTCATGAAAAATATGGGAGGAAGGGATTGGACATTAACAAAACAAAATGTGGGGGAGAGAGGGGAGCTGGAGAGAAGGAAAAAACTGCGGAGAGGGAAGCTGGAAGCAAGGCTGGAAATAATGCACAGGAGGACAGTGGGACTTGAGGCTGTGAGGTAGAAAAGCTAGCTTTGCTCTGATATGGGAACATTTAGTTTCAAATGAAGCGACTGAAAGAATTCTACGGTAATGTTCTGTGCAGGTGATGCTCTCATTGGGGCAACTAATTCTAAACACCAAACAGTTCTGAAAGTCATAGGAAAAGACTGTGGCTTTGGGACTATGAAAACTCATCCATTTGCCTTGAAGGAGAGATGATACAGATGGGTTAATACAATATCTACAACCATTGCCCTCCTCTGCTACAGAGTCTTCATCCTGCCATCTCCCTCATCCGAGAGACCCAGATTCAACCCACACCAGGACTGCTCATCATGCCCTGTGCACAGCATCTCTCCCTGTTAGACTTCCTGCTCCTCCCAAGTTGATAGACTTGCCATGATGTCTCAACTACCCTCCTAGTCACACGAGCTTGTCCATCACATATGTGCTCCTGTTTTGCCAATCCTTTCAGCACCGACACTCAGGATTACTCAAAAAAGGAATTCGTTCTTCATTTTCAAGATGTTTCTTGGGAATATTAGAGACAAAACAATATAAGAGAAAGGATGTAGAGTTCAAAGAAACTAAACACATGCAAACTGTCAAATTCCAAGAGGAACAGAAGAATTTATTCTCAACAATATAGACTAATATCTTAGCTTCACCTCTTGAACTATTAGAGAATTAGATGCAACTTTGGATCTTGCATAGGTAGATGAGTTTGAGAACACATTGGAGTCATGTTATAATCTTTGCTTGGCTGGAGTTACTAGACTAAGGTCAAGAGGTAGGTACTACAGGAGACAGTGTATATAATTTATTTAGCCTCATTCCTAACATTAATAGTCAATGAAGAGTGGGTGCTAATGGTTGAGTATATCTCCAATAGTAATGAAAACAATGAATATTGCTCCAGTTTGGGTCTTGAATACCCATTTGTTAAAGGCTTCATCTTTAGCATAGCATTATTGAGATGTAGTGGAAGCCTTATGAGGTGAAGCCTAGAGGGGGGTCTTTAGGTCTTGGGGTTGTAGGCACAAACAAGGTAGGGGAGACATTATATTCATCCCCTTCCCGTTGATGGTTTCTTGCCCATGAAGTGAACGATTTTGCTCTGCAAGTACTTCCATTCAATGCCACACCGGAGGTCTAAAAGCAATGACGTCAAAGACTGTAACCTCCCCCTTTCCGCTTTTTTCTCATGCAAGTCTATGTGTATACATAATGTATGTGTGCACAATAGGTCCTATGTGTATGTGTGAATGCAGGTGCACATACGCCATGGTATAACTGTAGAGGGCAGAAGACACTTTGGGGAGTGGATTCTCACCTTCCACTTGGTTTTGGAGACAGGGCCTCTATTGGTTTGCTGCTCCTGCACCACATATGCCACACTAGCTGGCCTGTGAACTTCCCAGTGATTCTCCTGTCCAGCTCCCATCTCTATTTGGGAGTGCGAGGATTACAGATATTTACCACACATGTGACTTTTCATATGGGTTCTAGAAATCTGAACTTGGGTCGTCAGACTTGCATGGTAAGTGCTTTTACCCAATGAGCCATCTCTCCAGCCCCCTAAGTGAATGTTTCAAATATTTAGTATGTGTCAAATCTGTCACCCAGCACCACGGACTTACTGGACTGAATGGTGTTCCAAAAACTCCACGTAAGTCAAGAACGTCAAACTTTCATTTGGAGACAGAATTTTTGCAGATATGATCAAGTTAAGTCAGGATTTCTGTGAGTCCTAAATCAAAGGTTTCCTGTTCTTCTCCAGGAAAAGAGGGATCTGAAGACACAAAGGAGACACAGGAAAGAAATGTGAAGACAGAGGCAGAAATAAGAATTTGACTACCACTAACAAAGAAATCTCAAGGGTAGCTGTGTCAAGATAGATTGCTCCTTGCTCTAAATTACTCCACATTATATACAGCAATGTTCTTGTCTGTTTTCCAAACTGTACCTTGCCCTGAGAGACTCCATTTTATAAGCAGTTTTTTATTCCATTTTGAGTGCAGGATTTTTACACCTGTTGGGTACACAAACAACATCACCTGTCTGGTATCACCCATGAGGCACAGACTGAGAAAGAACTTACTCCTAAAAGTAAAAAGGATTTTCTACCTTTAAAATGCCTATAGATTTATCAAAGTAAAATGAGATTATCTTACTCAGTGTTCTATTGCTGTGAAGGGACACCATGACCAAGAAAACTCTTATTTAAAAAAGCATTTGAGGGCTTGCTTACAGTTTCAGAGGCTCAGTCCATTATCATGGCAGGGAGCATGGCAGCAGGCAGGCATGGTGCTAGAAAAAGAGCTGAGAGCTACATCCTGATCTGCAAGCAGGGAAAGAGAACCGGGTCTAGTGTGGGCTTTTGAAACCTCAAGGCCCACCCTCAGTGACACATATCCTCCCTCCAATAAGGCCACATCTCCTAATCTTTTCAAATAGCACTGCTCCCTGATGACTAAGCATTCAAATATATGAACCCATGGGGGCCATTCTCATTCAAAGCACCACAGGGACCATATGAGCACATAGACACATTAAAATATCAGGAAAACAAAGGCTAAGAATGTATTAAATACATCAAACTAAGAAAAGGATGAAAACACTTGAACCCCTTAAATAGATGGACACCTAACTCTGTGATGGCAATGACCTCCATTGACCTGTCATGACTGAGAGTGGGGGGGTCTAACTACAAGCAGAGAACTCCCAACTGTTCTAACAGGCTTCTGTTCAGCTACAATCCCACTGCTGACATGGCCTACTTCAAATGCTGTCTGTTTGTCCATCTGAACACAAACGGTCAAGTTAAGTCAGGATTGCTGTGGGTCCATTTGTCTATCTATCCATATGTCCATCTGGACCTAGTCCTACTCTTGGCCTCCATGGCCTTCACGATCCCACACTTTGCTTCTATAACTCGACTAGATCTTGAGGCTCAACTCATATTGGTGACCCAGCAGTTTGACCCTGCCACAGCATCTCCATCAGATCCCCAGTGGGGTTCCTTTTTTTTTTTTTTTTTTTTTTTTTTAAGATTTGCAGGCCAGAAGAGGGCACCAGATCTCATTACAGATGGTTGTGAGCCACCATGTGGTTGCTGGGAATTGAACTCAGGACCTCTGGAAAAGCAGTTAGTGCTCTTAACCTCCGAGCCATCTTTCCAGCCGCCTCTCTTTTTTTAATTTATTATATATAGCATTCTTCCTGCATGTATGCCCCCATGCCAGAAGAGGGCACCAGATCTCATCATAGATGGTTGTGAGCTTCCATGTGGTTGCTGGGAATTGAACTCAGGACCTCTGGAAGAGCAGCCAGTGCTCTTAACCTCTGAGCCATCTTTCCAGCCCCAGTGGGGTTCTTTATCTAGTCCTGCCTCCAACCCACACACAGATGCTCTTTGCAACTCTGTAAAGCTTCTTTTGAACTCCTTAGATTATGCTTCAGCCTCTCTAATCCTCTTATAGGATATTCAGTAACCTACATATACATACACATGAAGAGACATATTTACTGTGTGGTGTATAACATGTGATTTGAGAGTTAGTAGTTAAGATTGGAATAAAACAACCCATGTTTCTGAGGATTTGTAGGCAGTTGACAGTAACTGGGGAGAGGGGCTTATGAATCACAAACACTGTCCTAGTTAGGGTTACTAGTGCTGTGATGAAACACCATGACCAAAGCAACTTGGGGAGAGAAGGGTTTAATTTCAGCTTACACTTCCAGGTAACAGTCCATCACTGAGGAAAATCAGGGCAGGAAGGCAGGATCTGATGCAGAGACCATGGAGGGGTGCTGCTTACTGGCTTGCTCAACATGATTTGCTCACCCTGCTTTCTTATAGAACCCAGAACCACCAGGCCAGGAATAGCACCACACACAATTGGCTTGCCCCTCCCCCACTAATCACTAATTAAGAAAATGCCCTCATCTGGATCTTATGGAGGCATTTTCTCAACTGAGATTCCTTCCTTTGTAGCTTGCATTAAGTTGACATAAAACAAGCCAGCACAGACATACACAACACATATCTCCCAAGAATCTATAGACAGTTAATAGTTGCTAGAGGAGGAAGACAGATTTATTTCTTCAGTGGTACAGTCACTGATAAGGTACCCATGACCCTGTGAATAACCTCTACCCATGTTCCTGTAAGCAACCCTAATGAAACTCACTGGATCAAACAAGGGGGCATGAGGGAGATAGGTCAGTACACAAAGCCCCGCTGCACAAGCAAGAGGACCTGGTCAAAGCCCTGGCACCCATATAAAAACTGGACGTGGTGGCACACTTCTGCAACCCAACACTGGTAGGAGGAGGGAGCAGAGACCCACAGAATCCTGGAGGCAACTGTCCAGGCAATCTAGCCAGGCACTGAGCTCCAAGTTCAAAAAGGGACCCTGAAAAATAAATAAATAAAAAATAAATAAATGAGGCGACAAATGACAGGATAAGACACCCAATGCTGACTTCTGGCCTCTTTACACAGGCACATTCACACACACACACACACACACACACACACACACACACACACACACACACAAAGGACATGAAAGTAGATGGGGGACTAGTTAGGAAGAGTGTCAGTGGTGTGGGAGAGGGTATGTGGGTAATGGGGAGTGAACATGATTAAAATACAAAATTTATGAAAATGTCATAATATACACAAAAAAATTTTTTTAAAGAAAACTTGTGTTTGCATCAGCCAGCTATCAAGGCACATCAGAACCACAGAGAAAGCACTATGCCATAAACACAGATGAACACATGTGTGTCTTTTTAAAATGTCAAAACTTGAAACAATAGATTCACAACATGCAGTGGTTTGATTGGCAACAATTTGTCAGATAACCCTGCCTACCTTGGAATTTGACCAAGACAAATATAAGTTCTTTCATTTTAATATTACTGGTAATATTAACTCTCTCATCACATAGTATTTGGTACATAGTAAATATTATTATGTATGTGGTCATAGAATGAATATAAGTTGATAAGGCTACAGTTTTAGAAGCAGGTTGATAGAAACAGAAAACAGTCTCTCAGGGCAAGGCACAGGCTGAAAAACTACAGTTTGACATAATATAGAGTAAGGTAGGTGATGGCTATTCTTGGTTGTCAACTCTTGACTACGTCTGGAATTAACTAAAACCCAAGCAGCTGGGTATATCTGTGAGGAATTTTTTTTATTTTCTTGGCTTTTTTGAGATGGTGTTTCTCTGTGTAGTTTTGGTGCCTGTCCTGGATTTCACTCTGTAGACCAGGCTGGCCTTGAACTCATAGAGATCTGCCTGGCTCTGCCTCCTGAGTGCTGGGATTAAAGGCCCAGCTGAGGGATTTTTCTTAATTAAATCATTTTAAGTGGGAAGACCCACCTTTAATCCAGATCTTTTGAGGTAGGAAGATTCACCTTAAATCTCTATCAATCTATCTATCTGTCTATCTATCTGTCTATCTATCTATCTATCTATCTATCTATCTGGGATTTATTAGAGTGGTTTACAGGCTGTAATCCAGCTAATTCAACAATGGCTGCCTACCAATGGAAAGTCCAAGAATCCAGTTCAGTCTATAAGATATAGATATATAGACATAGATAGATATTTATTAGAACCAAAAGAATGAATATATTAGAACTGATAAAAATGAATACACATACACACACATACACCATGGTATAGAATATATATGTGTACATATACATACATATACACACATACATGTATATGTATATATATGTGTGTATATGCATACATACCACGGGTATAGAACTATCCATTGGAGCTTAGTAGGCTCATCAATGAATACCCAACTGAAGACAATGACTCCTCCTCCTGAGCATCCATCAATAACCAATAGTTCCCCTCAGGGGAGGGGAGGGCCCCATGAGCCTGACTGCTGGCAGGTCTAGTCTTATGCAAGCCCAGCGCACACAAGGACAGCTGATGTGAGCCCATTACTTCCATGGCCGTGTGCTACCCAGAAGATAGTCTTGTGCAACCCTTCTCCCTGTCACCCAGCACATTCTTTCTTCCCCCTCTTCCACATTGTTCCCCGAGCCTTATGGGAGTGGTATGAATGTTCCATTTATGGCTGAGCACTCAAAAGTCCCTTATTCTCAGCATCCTGAACAGCCTGAGTCTCTGAGTTTACTGCCATTCACTGCAAAGAGAAGCTCCTCTGATCAAGACTGAGAGTGGCATTTGGCTGTAGGGATAACCAAACATTTAGAAGGCAGTTTGAAGGCAAGATAGCAAAACAACAGAAAATGAATCCAGGTGCTTAAGGAAAGGCTATAGGAGGAACTTCTGTGCAGAATGGGAAGCAGATAACATCTTCAATCTCCATTCCCTAGAAACCTATTGCTTCTATACCGATATCCATCTCTGTGTTTACTATGTGCGTTTTAAGGGCTGAGGATGTAGCTCAGCTATTTGAATGCTTGTTTAGCAAACACAAAGCCCTGGGTTCAGTTCCCAGCACCACATAAACCTGGCACAGTAGCCTACACCTGTAATCCCAGCACTTGGGAGTAGGCAGGAAGATCAAAAGTCCAAGGTCATCCTTAGCTACATAATGAGTTGAGGCCAGACTCTGGGATACAGGGGACCCTGTCTCATAAGAAACAGAGCTTATTCAATACTTGTGGGTAAGATGGCACATTAGAAGCCACAACACAGAAGCTCAGGGACAGAGAAAAATTATAGTCAAGATAATACACAGTAAGTTCTTCTCCTGAGAGACAAAGGAGATGGGAGAGCTGAGCATTGGAGCCCAGCTGTGGAAACCAGCTGTGACCCCCTCCAATACAAACCACATAACCAAATGAAGCTGCAACCATACTAGACTAGAGAGCTTCAATCCATTCTTGTGGTAGGCAGAATAATGTCCTCCTCAAGACATACACACACTATTTTCTCAAGTCTATACACAGTCTAAGGAAGGAAAAGGACAGTCCACAGTCTAGGGGAAAAATGTCTGCAAATCATGTCTTATTCAAAATACACAAATTCCCAAATTCAATAACAGAAAAACAAACTGCTATGGTTTTAGTATGAGTTGTGTCCTTGAGAAATTTATATGTAAAGATTTTGTACTCAAGATATTGAGAAGTGCTATGGGCCCCTATGGGAGGTTCTTGGATCACAGGAGATGTGCCCTAAAAGCGGACTGTAGGACCTCACCCATCCTCTTCATTTGCTTTCCAGGTTAAGATATATTCCCTTAAAACATGCCATCTATGACAGAGGGCTAAACCAATGAAGCCACCCGATCTTGGACTTGACCTTCCAGAATCATGACTAAAATAAGTATCTCTTTACTGCATAAGCCTGTGTCACATATTTCAGTACACTGATAGAACACTGACTACTATCCAAACACACACCAAACAATGGAACAGTCACAACAGTCCCATCACCACAGAAGGAGTATGACAGATAAATAAGTACATGTCACAATGCTCAAAATCATTATGCATGGAAAAATGAAAATCAAAAACACAATTTTTGGCAAAGATGAAGAGCAACTGGAAATCTCAGACATGACTGGTAGGAACGTAAAATTGGAAAACAGCTGAGTAGTTTCACAAAAAGTTAAACCTATATTCACCACAACCTAGCCGTCTACTCATGAACATTCACCAAAGAGAAATATGTATGTTTGTAGGTCATGAAACTAGAAGGGAGATCTTAAGGGAGGTGGGAAATAAGCCAAAGCAATACATGTACTGGGAGGCCGAGAAGGGGCTAACTGCAGAAACAGAGGAAACGGGCTAGAGAGGAGAGGAGCACACAGGAGGAGAGTGGGGGAGGGGAACAACAAGACCAAAGCATGATGACAAGCAAGCATGAAATGCCATGATAGAAGAAATCTATTAATATGTATACTCACCAAACGTTAATAAACATTCCTCCAATCTTCAGAGGGGAGCAACTGGAGAGACAGTTCAGAGCTAATAAGTGCACACTGCTTGTCTTAATTAAGATTACTATTGCTGTGTTGAAACATGGTGACCAAAGAGCAAGTTGGGGAGGAAAGGGTTTATTTGGCTTACCCTTCCATGTTGTAATCAATCATTGAAGGAAGTCAGGACAGGAACTCAAACAGGGCAGGAAGCTGGAGACAGGAGCTGATGCAGAGGCCATGGAGGGGTGCTGCTTACTGGCTTGCTCCTCATGGCTTGCTCAGCCTGATTCCTTATAGAAGCCACGCCCACTGGCCCAGGATAGCACCACTCACAATGGGCTAGGCCCTCCCCCATCAATCATTAAGTAAGAAAATGCCCTACAGCAGGGTCTTACGGAGGCAGTCTCTCAGTTGAGATTCCCTCCTTTCAGAGAACTCTACCTTGTGTCAAGTTAACATAAAACTAGTCTGGAGACTGATCTTGCAGAGCATCCAATTTCAATTCCCAGTACCCACATCAGGTGACTAACTGCCACCTGTAAGTCCAGATGCAGAAGGATTACATACACCTCTAGCCATAATCATACATACTGATACACATAATTTAAAATAATAAAACTAAATCTTAAAACAAACACATCCAGCAGAGCATGATATGCACCTGTAATCTTAACACTTGGAAGGCAGAGATGGAGGCTGGAGGCTTGCCTGGGCTACATGAGACCCTGCCTCAATAAAGTAAAATAAAACATACATTCATACTGTAGCTTTTAAGCATTTGATAGGTGTGCTATAACCCATATAACCACAGAGGTTAGGTGTCAAGTAAGGGACTAGAGGAGAGGGAAGATCCCTCAAGGAAGAGAAAATAGAATATATTGTAATAAGTCTTTCTCTGCCCCACCAGCCAGCTCCCAAATAACAACACAGAGTTGTATTATTAATTATAAAAGCTTGGCCTTAGCTTAGGCTTGCTTTGAACTAGCTCTTATAACATAAATTAACCCATTTCTATTAATCTACATTCTGTCACATACTGCCCATTCTGCTTCTTCCCTGTCTCCTGGCATCTCTCGTGTGCCTGGATTCATCTCCTCTTCCTTTCTTTCTCCAGAAACCCTGCCTATATCTCTCGCTTAGCTATTGGTCATTTAGCTTTTTAGTACACCAATCACAGCAAATACATCGTCACACAGTGTACAAATATCCCACAACATATATACTTATGGAGAGACATGGGAAATGCTGGAGTGGGAGGATTAAATGAAGAGTAGGATGGGTAAAAGGGGTAAGAGAAGGAATATGGAGAGGGACAACTAACACTTGAGGGCCATTTGAGGGGTCATATAGATACCTACTACTATAGAAGCTTCCTAAACTATATACATATATAAGAGATTTAAACAGTCACCAAATAATGGGGAAGACAAGGCCCCAACTAGACATCTTTTCCCACCAAGTAAAATATGGGTTACATATAGTTGAGTTGTTAGCCAACGAGACCCCATGGAAACCTCCAAACATCTCAGGCTATTTCCAAGGCTATTTGTTGCTCTCCACAAATTGATGATAAGTTCCTATTGCTGAAGACAACATTTACATACGTCATTGAACACAGAGAAGTCGAGCTGGTGCCTTTACCCCATTGACTAGTGTTCCTAGTACTGAAATGTACCCTGCACACTACCAGAGTACAAAGGCAACCACCAACCTAGCCGCAAACCCTGAAATCTACAGTGGTGCCCTGCTCCCATGATATATTGTGGTATAATAGTGGCATAAATGTTTTAGGGGTAACAAACCACTCTCTGATTGAACTTAAGGCCCATACCACAATGCCTATGGCTAAGAACCTGAGACTAGCTAGACAGGAGAAAACCAAGTATTATTGTTCTGCTAAAGAAATGTAGCAATATGACTCCTAATGACCTTCTGCCCTACCCATAGATCAGTGCCTTGCTCAGCCATCATCGGAGAACTAACACAGAGAACCACACTGGCCAATGCGCAGGCAGTGAGACACTTCGGAACACTCAGTCCTAAATGGGATGTCTTCATCAAACCCTTCCGCTCAGAGATCAGGGAGTATGTGGAAGAGGGAACGTAAAGATTGTGAAATGGGATGAATGACACTAAGTGTCTTCCAGATACAAAAGGACTGATGCACACATGAACTCACATAGATTGTGGCAACATGAACAGGGCCTGCACAGGTTCAAAACAGATGGGGGTCCCAGCACTGAGAGGGGGAAGCAGACATGAGCTCTCAGCCCTAACCAAGAAACTCTCTGCAACTGACATTCTCTAGCAAAGGAAAAAGCCGTTTTCTCCAATGGAGTTCCATTGGGTATATTAACTTCACTGAAGGGCAGGCCCCATGCCCGGTGTAGATGGGCAACACTAAAACCAACTCAATGGCATTTTTATAGACCTTTTGTATCATATTGTTTTGTTTGGGGTTTTTTGTTTTGTTTTTGTCTTACTGGTCTTTTGCTTGTATGTTGTGGTTTCTGATTTTTTGTGGTTTTGTGGGGTTTGTTTGTGTGTATGTTTCTTGTTAATTCTGATTTGTTTGGGTTTTCTGTTTGCTTTCTCATAAGAGAAAGGACTGGGTGTCAGATGGGTGAGTAAGTGGGAAGGATCTGAGAGGATTCAGGGGAAGGGAAACCATGGTCAGAATATATTGTGTGAAACTTTTTTCAGTAAAAAATTATGAAGAAAGGGGTCTTGTGTTGCATTAGCAAGACAGAAGTAGCAGCATATTGAAATCACTTCTCTCCTAATGCTGTTTTGCTCTTGTATGCTAAATGCCAATGGCTTCATTCATTTTCTTATTGCCCTGTTTGTATTCCTGTTCCCCCGCCCCCATATGAAGCCCGTGGGCCAGGGCAGAAGACAGGGTAAGGGCAGCAGAAAAATTAACTAATGCCTTCTCAAGTAAGTCTGATAGTTTCCAATTACAGCATCAGTTGATTTAACTGAAGTATTTTTGAAAACCAAATCCAGATACAATGAAAAAAATCTATTCTAATTCTGTCAAGGACTTTTTGTTTTTGTTGTTGTTGCTGGGTGGTTGATAAGTGCATTAAAATACATTAGGTACTGAAAGTGTAAGATTTAATGTGAAGCTCCACAGCTTCTGTTCTGAATGCCTATTCTTTTTTTTTTTTTAAGATCTATTTATTTATTATGTATAAAGGTGCTCTGTCTGCGTGTATGCCTGCAGGCCAGAAGAGAGCACCAGATCTCATTACAGATGGTTGTGAGCCACCGTGAGGTTGCTGGGAATTGAGCTCAGGGCCTCTGGAAGAACAGCCAGTACTCCTAAACACTGAGCCGTATCTCCAGCCTCTTGAGTGTTTATTCTAATTGTATAAGGTTCATTGAGTTGTACAGATTTGGGGTCTGGTTAACTTTGGTGTGTGATTTTTAATTTATTTACAAGCTGTTTAATAATGTTTATAAAATTTAAAAAAAAAAAGAAATGCCTTTACTAGATTCACTGACAGAAATAAAAACTAAATGTCAATCTCTTAAAAAAAAATACAAGCATACAAAGACTTGTAAGTTAATGCCTATAGCAGCTTTATTTGCATTACTCCAAAACTGGAATGTTCCATAAGTCTACCAATAAGTGAATGAACAAACTGGGAAAGTCAAACAAAGGAAATTATGTATAACACAACAGAGGAATCTCAAAATAATCTATAGAAGAACCAGACCAAAAACTATGATTCAATTTAAATAAAAGTTAAGGAAATGCAAACTAATTTCTAGTAACAGAAAGGTGTCTGGGCAGAGGGGTCTGGTGAGTGACAGAAAAGGAGGATTATAAAGAATAAGGAACTTTTTTGAAGTGGCGTTTCCATCTTGATTGTACTGATGGTTTAAGGGTGCAAACGTGATAGTAAATTGTGTCCACTTTAAATAGTAGTTTACTGTACACCCTTTATAAGGACAAAGCTATTCATTTTTGAGACAGGGTCTCACTATGTTGCCCTGGCTAGCCTGGAACTATCTATTTAAACTAGGGTGGCCTTGAATTCAGAGATCCACCAGCCTCTGTCCCGCCTCTGGTGCCGGGATTAAAAGCGTTAGCCACCATGCTATTTTTTAAAACAGATAAGAGAAATCAACTATCAGACAGTGATACTAAAAGTTGTATTAGAAAAAAAAAAAAAGGAAGAAAGAAAACACTACAAGCGGATAGGGGGTTTTCTGGCTGTCTTGCAAAGATATGGTCAGTAAAGTGGGGACCAATGAGAGAACTGTAGGTCCAGTCTGGCCGCCTAAGCGGGCGTAGCTCGTGTGAGCAGGTCTCTGGGATGAGTTGGAGGGATGAGCGAGAATGCAGACCAGACACTCCTCCCTCGCGCTCAGGAGTGTACCCAGGAGCAAACGCATCCCCGCTGGTCTGCATGTAGTTGTAAACAGAGGTGAACAGTTTGTGTCTGAGGGATTTGGAGAGCGACGGCTGTTTTGCTGTGGTTTTGGTCTGAAGACCGTGATGTAGCACAAATGAAAGAAGGAAAATACTCCTGTGACCAGAAACTACCTCACCACAACTAACAGGGAATCCTGCGGCTCAAACCTCGGCATCTTTCCCCCGAACTCCCGGAAACGCGGATCAGCAACTCCACCTTCTTCCGCCCGGAACGGCTTCCGCCGCCTACAGAAGGAGAACCCTCTCCCAGCCACCGCGCACCTCATCGCAGTGCGCAGCTGCAAACGGGTCGCTTTACGGCCGGAGGGGCGGGGCGTAAACGTGTGGCGCAGAATGAGCTTAGGAGCGGCCAGGCTTTTTGCGACCGGGCGTAAGTGACGCCGAAGGTGGTGCGACAGCTGCTGGAGGGCCGAGGAGGCGGGTTTGTGTTTCCAGGGCCGAACCAGGATGAGGGGGGGGCGCGGGTCCTGGGCTTGGGTAGCTGGAGGCCCTCAGCTACAGCCATGAGTGAAGGGGAACGGCGAGGGGGAGGCCTTGGGCACCTTTGGGCGGTGGGTGGCTCGGGAGGGCTGGCGGGCCGGAGAGCCGGCTCCAGGCCGGGAGTCTGACCCGTGTCTTCCCCGAACTCGCAGAGCGGCGGGTCGTGTCCTCGCCATGAGGCCGCAGCAGGCGCCGGTGTCCGGGAAGGTGTTCATTCAGCGAGACTACAGCAGTGGCACGCGCTGCCAGTTCCAGACCAAGTTCCCCGCGGAGCTGGAGAACAGGGTACGCAGCCTGGCTCCCTGCATCTGCGCTGGGGAGGGAGCGTCCCTGGGGCGGGAGGGAGTGTAGGTCCACCATCCCACCCGCTGTCTCATGGTTCTGGAGAGCAGTAGACCTCCAGATTGACAGCAGAAGATGTACGAAGAAGGTAAGGTCTAGGACTTGGAGAAGGACTACTAAGGCCAATGCTCAGAGTACAGAGATCTTACAGAACTTTAAGATGCACGCTGCCGTCAGTCTACCCAGGAGTGGCCTTAACAGGATACACACACACACACACACACACACACACACACACACACACACACACACACACACACACACACACACGGTGATTGACACCTTGATGAGGCGCTGATTCCTAGGACTCCAGGCCACCTCATTACGGCCTGTGGTAACCTATATCCTACTGCCTTTCCACGCAAAAGAAAACGTCATCATTCTCATGACTGATGTTTGTGGTCACTGTGCTGATCATCCTGTTCAGCCGAAAGGGTTTATTAGTGATGTGCCTGGTAGGCCAGACAGGCCTTCTTGGAACCTGAAAAACGTACATGGGCCTGGGCAGGAACGACTAAGGAACTTGTAGTGAACTCTTCACTCCCTATCGTAGTCACTGGGACACTGGGAGCTTCCCATTTGCCTTGCTTATCAAAACTGTCATCAGGGTATATATAGGGCCTTTGGGTAACCTTCTAAACAAAGATGGATTTGTTAACCATGCCTTCAGATTTAACAACACCAAATTGTATCCTACTGTAAAAGTTAGTGCAGTGAGCATGAGTTAATGCCTGTGTGTTCCTGTGTCTACCCAGTGTGATTCTCTCGTTCTTCAGCCGTATTACTCACGTTCTGTTTCCTGTTCAGAAGTCAGTTTCTGAAAACCGAGCTAGGAGGATGAGGAACTTAGAGGTCATTAAGCATGGTGTGGGTGTGAGGCTAAGAAATGCTGGTCGTGGACTAGGTGGGTGGAGATGAGTGTGTACTAGAGAAATGTGTCCTAGCCATTTAAAATCAGTACGTCGGTTTGTAGGCTGGGTGTGTAGCTCAGTGCTAGAGCCTGTTCGTAGCAGGTTGAGGGCCCAGGGTTCTGTCTCCAGCACTGAATAGTCAGGCCTATAATCCCAGCTACTAGGGAGGCTAAGGCAGGAAGATTGCAAGTTCAAGACCAGCCTGGGCAGCTTGAAGGTACCCTGTTCCAAAGTAGCTTGAAAAGAATGGGGGTCCTGATGACATAGTTCAGTGGTAGACCATTTATCTAGCTTGTGTGAGGCTCTGGTTCAATCCCCAGGATTGTCTGATTATTAGTGTTGGGAAACATCGATTCCTTATCTTTTCCTTAAGTTTAATTTATGACCATAGGCAAGTTAGTGGCCCAGTTGCCTTTTTTTTTTTTTCTTTAAAACTATGAATTAAAGATCAAGCAAGGTTTGAAAAGATACTGTATAAATAGGGTATGGCCATGATCACCGGGGTGCCAGAGGCAGGATTCTGAGTTATAGACCAGTATGGACTGCATAGGAAGACTGTCTCAAAGAGAGTAAGGAGGGAAAGGATAGTGTGATTTTGATTTACTTGTTTGTGAAATGCCATTTAGATGCCTTTGTTGACTGGTTTAAAAGTCAGACTTCTCTTTACTGAGCCAGAGACATACATGCCAAGTTAGGCACTAGTCTTTATGTATGGTAGAACTGTTCTTTGATAATCTTAAATTTAAATAACAAGATGTAGTCACATTATCCTACATATTGTTACAAGAGATTGATGTTGCTAAATTCTGGCATCCAAAAATGGTACTTCTTTAACTTGACTAGTTTATACCTTAAACCGCTTGGAAAAGCTTTATGTGTATATATTGATTATAAGTTTAAGATTTCCTTACTTTGTGTGATGGGAAAGGTTTACTTCTCTACTAACCTAGAAATACTACTGATCACTCTGCCAGTAGGCCTGATTTCATTCTGTGCGACTGTCACACTGTGCAGCTTCATAGAGAAAAAAACCAATACACAAATGTCTTACATTACATTACAGTGAACAATGAGTGCATGATGTTTGAGTGGCAGATCAATTGTTCAGTTAACGAATGTGCTTCCTCCACCTGGTAGAATGTGATGCTTTGATACCTAAGTACAATGATTACAACTGCTTCTGACCTAAGACTTAAGAGCTCAAGGACTGGATCATACAATACTATCGACTTTCAGAATGATTTATCTGGATTGGATATGTGGCTCGATGATAGGGTGTTTGCCTAGCATGTTTGAGACCCTGGGTCAGAATGATAGTGTCCATTGAAATGCTCTACTAGTGAGTAGGCATTTAAAATTCTAAGATAAAATATAGAAATTTGAAGTCTACAAAAACATTGTTAGAAGAAAATAAAAATAAATTATTAGGGCTGGAGAGAACTCAGTTTTTAGAGTAGTTGACTAATGTGCAGGAGCCCTGGGTTCTGTCCCCTGCTCCACATAAAATTGGGTGTGATGGTGTTTGCCTTTAATCCTAGCCAGATGGAGAAGATACAAGGATCAGGACATGAAAGTCATCTTGTCTTTAGCTATATAATGACTTTGAATCTAGAGTGACAAACAGGATGGAGGTAGCAGGACTGTCCTCTGCCACTTAACGACAGGAACGTGATCTGAGAAGTGGGTTGTGAGGCAGTTGCCTCCTCTGAGCATCATATGTTGTATATATGCCATGGAACTAGTGATACAATCCTCTGGACATACACAGCCTGTTCTTAACTAAAGTATCACTGGGAGACAAATGACAATTGTATTAGTGTGAACGTAGGGTAACGATGTCACTAAATAGAAGTTAGAAATGGCTAAATGTGAAGCGTTGTGTCAGTTTGAGAATTCTGCCCTTCTCATAGCATAAAGATCTAGAAACAAAATAATTGCTTCAAAAGAAGAGCCTGAGAAAACAACATAGAACTTACCATTTGGACACTCTACTTAAAATACTCTTGCCCTAAATTCAGTATTTAGATGCTTGTTTTAAGCATACTCTCAATTGGAAGTGATGGTGCACACCTTAAACCCCAGCATTTGGAAGGGCAAGGGAGGGAAATCACAAGTATGAGGCCATCCTGGGCTACAGAGTGAGACTCTGTTTTGAAAAAAATAAATAAATACTCTTCCAAGATAAAAGGAACCTCTTATGTGCCCCTACAATTAAGGGTGTGTGTATATAAAGACTGACCATAGCATTATAGGTACTCAAAATACAAACATATATGACTAGAAAGAGTATCTTTAGAATTTCAGTACAGAGAAGTAGCATTTTGAACTTTCAAGATTTCCAGTATCCCATAAGATGGATAGTTAAACTCCAAGCAGTTATATTAGTAACATGGGTCCAGATTTAATCACAAAAAAAGTTATTTGCCTTATCTTTGGGGGTTTGTTTTTTTAATTAGGGGCTTGTTTACAGTTTCAGAGGGTAAGTGGACTCCATGACCATCATGGTAGGGGGCATGGCAGCAGGCAGGCAGGCATGGCATTGGGGCAATAACTGAGAGCTTACATCTGATCTGCAAATTGGAGTCAGAGAAAGAGCTAACTGGAATGGCAAGAGTCTTTTGAAACCTCAAAGCCCACCCCCCAGTAACACACCTCTTTCAACAAGGCCACACCTTCTAATTCTTAGCAAACAATTCCACAACTGGGGATCAAGAATTCAAACATGAAGGTATGGGGGCCATTCTTGTTCAGATCACCACAGCCAAGAATGACCTTGCACTACCGATCCTCCTGCCTTGGCATCCCATATGCTGGAACCACAGTGTATGCTTCCATGCCTGATCTATTTCTTGTCTTTTAAATTCAGAATATTGTCAAAACAATAAGGTGGAATTGTGGTAGCAAACAACAAGTTGACCATCTTTATTTCTAAAACTTAAATTCTTTCCTTCCTACAGATTGATAGACAGCAGTTTGAAGAAACAGTTCGAACTCTAAATAACCTTTACGCAGAAGCAGAGAAACTTGGAGGCCAGTCATATCTTGAAGGCTGCTTGGCTTGTTTAACAGCATATACCATCTTCTTATGCATGGAAACTCATTATGAGAAGGTATGGCTACATTTGTGTTCAGGAACTCTAAAAATCATGAAAGAAGAAAAGTTTTTATATAGTAACAGCTGCTTTAAACTTTAGAAGTATGTATAATAATAATTCAGATTTTGTTACTGCTCCTATGTCCAGAGCACATGGGAATAAGTCCCAAGTGTTTCAGAACAGGTCGAAATGTGTATTGTATGTCTGCTGAGTAACAGGTCAGTGGTCAGACTCCCCATGTAAAGTGAATGTAGAAAATCTGTATGTCTTCATTATCTCCGGTTTTTTGAGGGAATCTTTGTACTTTGTTTTACAAAATTTCATCTTCACTCTTATCCTCCAACTTGAGTTC